AATTGTATCAGGGGGACGGATGTTACATTTTTGGGGGGACGGATGTTACACAAGATGTTTAAAGCTCATAGTTCATACTTTTTTTTTGGTTTTATTTTAAAGTAATATAATTTATAAGAGTATATGCTTTGTACAGTACAATAAATGTAAATAATTGAACAAATTATGAGAAAAATGTAGAAATATACCCGACAATTATGGAGTTTCTTACTATTTGCGTTTCACAATGAAAAGTTGCATTGACTTAGTTTTCTTCCATTTATCTTACATTTGAATGAACATTGAAATGTTTGGAATAAAATAAAAACATTGCTAATTAAACAAAAGAATCTTTGTTTCCAGATAATGCATTAACATGAAAAAGAAAAATGTCATACCAAAAGTACCTTTCTATACATGAAATTATTTACAAAATTCTTCTAAATTAGTTAAATTATAAAATTTATATTTGTAAAAGATATGATACAGTGTGAAGTAAATAAGTTTTCAGATTGAAACATATGCAAGCTTAAATTTCTCATTACTAAATACATAAATTATACACAATTAAAAATTTTCATTAAAAATTATAAGATTTTGAATTGCTGCAATTAAGTTCTATCGACTTGATGAAATTTTAAGTAAATTAATGTGGTATGTTAGCAGCATTATCCAAAGATTTCATTATGATTCAGTATCATAATCTCATTATTTCTAACTTTTAATAATTCTCTGTGTAAATATTCAGTGTACATGAACTGCTTTAACTTAATGAACTAATTTGTCATTCAATAAAATTTATAGGTGCATTAAAATAATTTGCGAAGGGTTTATTTACAGAATAATTTTCACAATTATTCCAACTTTTTCATTACAGGAATCCTTACCTTATCCTTTACTTACAAGTTTCTTTCACTTTATTAACAATAATTAAATGGGTCAAATTGTATGAAAAAAATGTGCTTGAGTTTTTTTGGGGGGAAAAAATCTTAAAATTTTAATCAGGGTGTTGAATTATATTTTTTTATTTGTTTTTTTTTCAGTGACTACATATTTAGCCTATAAAATTTTGAAGTTCAATAAATCCTTTGACTTAAATGATCTTCAACTTTATTACTTAATGAAAGACATTCTTGAAACAGATATGGTAGTATTTCCCAGTGTTTTAAGCATAATATATATCACCCTTAATTGGCACCCCCTACTGTTTTGTAATATATCACACTTCCCAATATACACAGCGCCCAATATACAGCTCGTTAACTTCCAATAAAGTGCAAGCCCCTTCTGTGTGTATAGAGTTAGGATCCATATCCCACTGTTTTATGAGGGGCTGGGATACATGGTTTGTTAACTATTTAAGGCTAAAGAATATATGTTTTAACACTTGACCAATTTTAATCACAAAGATACTTTCAACATCTCTATCTTTGGCACCTCTTTCTATATAATTATCCTGTTAAGGATTTTGTGTTTGTTTCTTCTAGTTTTTTTTAAATAGTATTTTATTTGTTGTGTGAAACGTTCCTATACAGTTGCAAAGCTTACTACTTCTCTATCATGCATCATAAGAACAAGATAAGTTTAGTATTACTGTAAAAAGAATTTTTAGTTCAATTCTGTAACATCCGTCCCCTTCTGTACCCTTAGTTTGTAAACACAGAATAACAAAAGATTATATTTGCTATAAAATCATATAAGCTTAAATATTATCTTAATAAACTCATAGGTCCACTTGATGTTAAAATATTTCAAAGTAAATAATTTTGTTATCAGAGCAAAAAATACTGATTTTTTTTCAAAGTTAAGGAATTTCGTGTTCACAAATAATATTTTTTTATAAAAACATCATTTCAGTGCTTTATTTCTGTTATTTCTTCATTTTTCATTGTAACTTTGGTGTTTTAGTGTAAAATTCCCTTTCCAGTTACAGTTTTTGTGAGATTTAATAAGCATCTTATATAGGGGGACGGATGTTACGGGGACGGATGTTACAGACAACTTTTACATTATTGTAATTTTTTTCTCATAAACATTGAAATTGGCATTTTTTATAACATTTTCATTGTAAGGCTATCATTAAGCACCAGAAACATTGTTTTTTATGAGTATTGTTTTATAATTGGATATTTTATGAGAGGGGGACGGATGTTACAGTTTTTTCATCACAAATTTTTTTTTACCACTAAAATGCCTATTTTGGTAAAAATGTTTGAAAATTTGAATTGAAAACACTTAATATATGTTTTTAATTCATATTTCATTAGATTGAGACAATAAAGTACTATTTTATTTGTAATTGCTTAAAGGTATACTTGTTTGCTTAACAACTGAATTTTGAAAAAACTGATGCATTACAAAAGTCTGATTTTACTAAAATCATCTTAACGATAAAAACCAGGATGATGACTACCAAGTATTATATATCACTGGAAAGGTTATTAAATTTTCTATGTGCATGTAAAAAAATTTAAGTGATAAATTAAAACAGATAATAGTGGTGTTAATTCTAAAAACACCAAAAAAACAGATGCTAACACATTACATGTAAAATTGGACATTTTTAGGGTATAAAAATGTCTGTATCTTTATTTTGGGTAATGCTATCACAAAAAAATTTGGGGCACATTTGCTTTATAGTAAGTCCTATATAAAAACACAAAAAATAATAGAAATAACAATATATTTTTTGAAAAAGCCTGCATTACATGTATTTTTGAAAAATTGGCCCATTTACTGTGCAGCAGGCATTATAAAGATTTCACATTTTAAGTCTATTTTTAGTTCCTGTCATCAGACTGGTACAATTAAAACTTTTGTAGAGGACAATCAAGGTCAGGTTAAAGCTTAATCATGTTTGCATTTTGCTTTTCACATGTAATGTATTGAATAACATCCAAATGGCAACTTTTCATTTGAGACACAGTGTAGTCAGCAGAGGCAGTGCTGATGGTAAATTTCTTTCAGGGCTATCAAAGAGTGCAAAAGTCAATGAATTGTACGAGAAGTAGAAGTTGACAAAGTATGCAAAATAGAAATAATTATAATAATCAAGTTTTTCCACAGATATTACACAGATAGAAATAATGTTACAAAAAGACAGTCAGACTGATGGACAATAACATAGTCAGAGTATATCTGACATACTGGGTATGTAAAAAAAAGAGAAACGAAATCAGGCGATACTGGAGACACTTTCCTCAATTATATCCTCAAGTCAATTGTAAAATTCCTGCTTAATGCCCTCACACTTCAAGCTAAAAGAAACCCACCACCTTAATTACACCAGGATAGATGAAAGGTATAAACTTAGTTCATTTCTCCAACTATCCCCTATGTTACCCTCAGATTGGGTGTAAGGGGGTGAGGAAAGAAGGGGTAACAATTAACTGGTGTATTAATTATAAATTTTACATTGCAAAATTCAATGATATTATGAATAAAATTTATATACATATAACTGAAGTAATATTATTGATTACAGTTCAATCAACAGCATTAAATGATTAAATCAATGGTCATTAAATAATTAGACACATTAAAAAGTGATATTAGTGTTAATTGTATTAATATTAACATTTTGATAATATGCATATGTTTGATTTACTTTAATTTGATATAGGTCTGATTGACTAATTTTCCAAAGTAAATAAATTGTATCTTACCCCATTCTACAACAATACCAGCACTTTCATTTACCTTGTTTCGTTTTTTAAATAGCTGGTTTAAATCGAATAGGTATCGAATTATCAAAAATTAATATTCTACATTCATCTGAAATCAATACAAATTTGCCTGCAAATATTTAAAATCAACAAGCAATTATCATAGTATTGCAAGCAATCCATAAGTCCCCTACCGGTAAGAGCCCAAGCAACATTCTGAAGGGCCATTGGCCATTCACTTATGTTCCAATTTAAGTAAATTTGTTAAAAAAGTTATTTAAAAGTTATCACAGGAAACAGTTTTTATGTTCAGACAGACAGACTGAAGGACACTCTTAAGTTATTTTTTAAACATCCCTGTTATCAAAATATAACATTTTTAAAATCCTATCATGATTGAAGAAGTTGGAGAGAAAATTACCAATTTCTCAAAAAAAAAAGTCTAAGTTCAAAAGCGGCATAATTCTGGAAATAGTCTTGCTAGAGTATTGAACTATCACAAATGTTGAGTGATAATAAGAAACATTTATATGAAGTTTGAAGTAGATACATTCAAAAAAAGAAGTTATTAAAAAAAACAATGTTTTTTTCATGAAAATTTTAAGTTCAAGGGAGGCAATTCTGATAAATTTTGTGCTAGAGTTGTAAACCTTGTCACATATGATGTGGTTGATGACAAGCAACTTATATTTAAAGTTTGAAGAAAATACCTTAAGAAATAAAGAACTTATAGTGAAAAAACTTAAAAACTAGAATCAGAAATCTTGAAATTCAGTCTATTTGTTGCCATAGCAACCAGAATTTTCAACATAGGAAGATAAGAAATGGATGTGCATAATTTCCATACTGCCGTCTACCTATATGTCAAGTTTCATAAACATATTTTCAGTACTTTTTGTGTTATCACTGGATCCAGGTTATGTGTAAAATTTGCCATATTTTCAGTCTATTTGTTGCCATAGCAACCAGAATTTTAAACATAGGAAGAAAGGAAAAAGATGTGCATAATCTCCATACTGCCATCTATCCATAAATCAAGTTTCATAAAAATATTTTCAGTACTTTTTGCGTTATCACGGGATCCAGGTTATGTGTCAAATTTGCCATATTTTCAGTCTATTTGTTGCCATAGCAACCAGAATTTTCAACATAGGAAGAAAAGAAAAAGACGTGCATAATCTCCATACTGCCATCTATCCATATATCAAGTTTCATTAAAATATTTTCAGTACTTTTTGCGTTATCGCGGGATCCAGTTTTGTGGACGGACGGACTGACGGACGGACAGACGGACGGACAGACGGACAGAGGGTAAACCTAAAGTCCCCTCCGGTAAACCGGAAGGGGAATAATAAATAATTTCATACTTCCCATCTTTCTGTGACCTATTCTGAAATGACCTTTGGTTACAGAGAAAAGGTGTTTTAAAAATCCTTAAATCCCTTTAGAGCTATGTTAACAAAAATAAATGGGTGAAAATTGCTGAGTCTGTTTTCCTCAATGTGTTTTATTTTTTGGTTATTTTTCTGCATTGTTTCTGTTTTACGAAACTACAAAGGTCACATTTTCATCTATCCCAGCTATATTTGATTATAAAGCAAGATTCAACATGCTTCTTTACAATCTAGTCATTACCATTGCTTTCTCGCAAAATTTGTGACATGCAAAAAAAACTCATACCATGTAAATAATAATAAAATCTCACAAATAAAAATGCATAAACATTTGAATTCATAATTTATACATTGAAGTAGAAATTACTTGTAAAATGGCAGATTTCTATCATTTTGGCACTCGCAAAATAAAAATAGCTTTCAGCATGAAAAAAAATCTTTGACATGAATTTCAAGGATATGTTTTGCAAAAATTTCACATCTAAAAATGTTGACTGCTTTGAACACTCAACATAAAAAAGCATGAACATGATTATACACATAGCATGTGTTAGATAAAAAAAAAAAAACACAACAAAAGTTTTCATATTCTGAACCTGAAAAAAGCTTATAAAAACTGTGAATTTTTATTGCACACATGACCTGGCACTATAAAGTAATACTCAGAATTTATTTGTATAATTTTAACACATTTTAGTTTATATCTCAGCCATTGGTTCACTGTTGGTCCACTAAGCCAGGCTTCCCTGTAACTTATCAGTAGTTTGGTACATTAACCAGCTTTCCATAGCAACTTAATCAGTTATGATTAATTTCTTTGCAAGTGAGCAACTGCATATCCCAACTGAGTGGGGGACAATGACCATTAGACACAATGTCCGAGATTAGCTGTCTTTAGAGAAATTTCGTCTCATTCAAGGATCAAACCAGCAATCCCTGAATTACAAATCCCATACTCTTCCTATTAAGCTAAGTCAGTAAGGATAACAAAATTTTAAGAGAAAAAGGTAGAATCACTCTTAGTTTGACCATTGAGAAATGATGTGCACAACTTACAACATGTTATTACATGTAGAGGAATGACACCATCCTAAAACATGCGATTCAATCATAAAGTTGGTTTAATGACATCATTTTAAAGTAAGCAGCTCATCTTACATGTAGGGGTATAAGATGGCATTTTCAAGCATAGATGCAAACACTAAAAACCAGTCTGACATGCAAGAATAAAAAAGAATGTTCCCAGTCCAGCTATTCCCTATTAAAACATGTTCTATTTGTAACTAGGATGGTACAAGTGTATTATCAAACTAATTGGAAAACAATGTATGAAGAATATTGATATTTTTGTAAGTATGATTTCAAAATTATGAAGAATTAAATTCATATTAATCAGAGAAAAAAATGTATATGAAAGGAAAGTTTACTGTCTTTAATCAGATGATTTTTTTACAAAAAAATAAATTGCTTTAAGTTTACAAAAAACATTTTCAGGAATGTGTTGAAAAGGCAATATTTCTGTAAGAAACTTTTGTATGTGTGCATTGGTGAAAGTTTTATAGTTTTATGCTTAAAACCATGCTTATATACGGTAGTTTCATTTTAAAAAAGATCTTAAGTTCAAGAATAATCCTGAAAACTTTCACTGATCATATTATAAAATTCATAAAAGAACAACATTTTGGTCAATACATGTATATGTCACTTTCTCTTGTAAACATATTCACTTGATGAATATTTTACATATCCAGTTTTAAAAAAAAAGCTATTAAAAATGCATTTTTTTCTTACTTCAATGAATTTCTTTCAAAAATAATTTCAATACCAAGCCCATTGTCCTTGTTATGATGAACAAATCTCAAATAAAAAGCAAGTATTTTATAACATATGGAACAATCAATGTTAGTATATGAGCATATAATGAGAAAGCATTATAACTACAAAAGCGTGAGAATCACTTTATGTTATTCAGGTGGAGAATATGCTGGATTATCTCCCATGCTGATTTCCACACTTTCACTACTGGTCACATGACCATTGGGCATATCAGCGTAGGAACTGAGCACTATCCGTGAGTTAGTAGCACTATTATTGTTAGTAAGGTTATTTGAACTAGTCTCAGTAATATCTATACCTTTGGTTTGTCGTCCTGGGAGCAGGAATACAACTGATAGAGACATGGCAACATGCCAACAACTGTGAGTATACTTGTAGTTTTCCTCTGTCTCTAGGAATGCAAATATCCCCATACCTGTAAATGCTAGAATTACTCCAGGTATAAGGTGCAGAAGAATATATCTCTTTTGTGGAAACAACTTTCTACGTCTTTTACATTGCAAGCCCTGTAGAAAAATCAAAGACCTCCTGTATATACAACTCCAAATATTCTAGCTTAATGGTAATCATCTACATTCCACCACAATATTTAATATTTAAATTTAAAATTGTATTCACCAGTCAACAAAAAACTTTAAGCATAACTGGTCGGGGACCACCAACCGGACACTTTTTGAACAATTTTCCTTACAGTTTTTATAATTTATACGCTAGAGATCTGAAATTTTTACATAGTAAAGCTAGGTTCTTCACCAAACTAACGGACTAGTTTGTTTATTTCTATTTATGTTGGCACTTATATCTGAGGCATGTGAAGGAGGGTATCAAAATTACCTGAATTGTCCACACTACAGTACCATGTGTCCGGACAGATATGACCATGATGCTGATTTAATTCATTAAAACTTTTGGTGTTTTAATTTTTTTATTGTTAACATAATATAAAATATTTCAGCAGCAAATGCTGAAATTTTGGATATTCTATTATTTACTCTACAAATAATTACAGCTAGTATAAGTGGTCAGGTCCAAATTTTCAATGTCAACATTCTTGAAAAAGACATTAAAACATTACCACTTACAAAAATTGAAATAAATTTAATTACTTAATTATAGAACAAACATGCAGTTATTGTTGATATAAAAGCGACCACTCAACAAATAAAAAAGCCATTTTCCGAGCTGTCCGGGTTTGGTGGTTGTCCGGTTTTGATGGTCTCCAACCAGTACATACAAGTGAATCTATTGTATACAGAAGTGGTTTACGTTGAAATAAACACCTCCTCATAGCATAGGTCTTGTATACCACCATTGAAACAAAATTCATTTGATCATCATAATGACTTAGGAAAGACTGGTGATCCTATTAATGATTCTCTAATAAACTGCACAGAGAAATTTATTTGGTTATCTTATTTGTTATTTGGTTGTGTGTTGTCTTTTTTTTTGCTGTTATAAGTCTTACTCACAATAATTGTCATATGGCAGCTTTACGGGTAGAGGAAGAAGATTTCATGTAAAGGTTTAAACTAACAGAGGTAAGTACTTCATAGTCAGCAACCTTGACCAGTTTGCAAGGAAGGCCACATGTTTTAACATGTAAGTGGTATTTATAATTCAACTACAACAGTCATCAAATTTGGCACTGGCCCGGTGGCCCATGGCCAGTGAAAATTAGTTTGGGCCAGTGTTAATTTTAAGGAAATTTAGTTAAATATTTAGTAGAATAAATCAAAACTGGGGTTCGGGCCATTAAATCACATACATCCTTTATAATACTACGGACACCCTGCTATCACAATCTTTATTTCTCTTCTGAAGAGAACTTGAATATTACTCTCTGTTTACAATAACTGATTTTACACTTGGCATCACATAGTCACTTATGTGTGCGACCAGAACTAATAACAGATAAACAACATGATAATTTGACAATTATACTTTTATTAAGGTACTTCATAACCTTGTGGCGGAAATTTTGGCTGCAGACGGGCAAAACCCATAAATTTTATCCAGTCCCGGGGGAGACTACTAACTGCCTTGTTACACTGGCAAGTCAGTGACCCAGGTTTACAACCTGGTGTCAGTCCCAAAAGTTGAACACGCTTAAGTGGACAGGTGTTAGCGGGCTGCCAAGATTACATCTGACTCCTGAGCAACGAGGGTCCCGGACGTAGCCCTGCCCTGGGCCTCCCCTCCATACGTAGAGGTGGAGGGGGGTGCCAACGTAACCCTGGAGTGCACCCCACCATAATACATAAAACTAATACATACAATGAACCTGCATGCTTTCAAGCAAGTCAGGCCAGGAGAAAGAGCCAGACAGTACCCGTAACCCCCTTTTTCGTCTCCCCGGGCCGCTCCCCCAGATCGAAAATTGTACCCTTCTCTGCGCCTGTGATTTAACTGCAAAACAAACTGCAAGAAATTTATTTATAGTAGTCCTAATAAATTCCTATACTGTTAATAACTTTGACATATATCGCTGTCTGTTTTTTTTTTTTTTTTTTTTTTTTTTTTTTTTTTTTTTTTTTTTTTTTTTTTAAAGGCAACATTATGAAACACGTAGATGTAGAGCGTTAATGTAACCACTGTAAAGATGAAGTTCACTTCCTGAGTTCCAAGGAGTAATTTGACTTTTACTCTGAACTTGAATGTTAACTAGCCTTACTAGAACTGGAACTTGTATGACTAAATTGAGTTGAAGAAATCCCTTCCATATGTTTGTAAAAATTATCACTATTGTAAAGTATTAATTATTAGGATGTATTGTTCTCCAGTCTGTACTGGCACACAGGTATGTTAACAAGATCCTTTGTACAAACAGTTTCAGTGCACACAAAAATCCTGATGGCACAAAACTCCGAAACCGGATTCTAAACCAATATCCAGATGAGGTTGGAGGTTCTCTGGAAGCTGGCTGCTGTAAGACTGTTAAGAAAAAGAGTCCCTGAAAGAGAAAGAAAAGGCGGCAGAAATTGTTCTCATAAAGGGGAGGGCGGGCGGGTGCGTTTTTGAAGGACACTCTGTTTCGGAAAGTTCCCGGATAATGATTCGCCTCCTTTGAAGAGTATCTTAGTATGTCTAAATTCCGTACTTTACTTTACCGGATTAAACTGCACCTACCCACCCGCTAGATGATGTGTTTAAGAAGGATTATCGAATACGAGATTCTGGATAATCCCTATTAAATCACATACATCCTTTATAATACTACGGACACCCTGCTATCACAATCTTTTATTTCTCTTCTGAAGAGAACTTGAATATTACTCTCTGTTTACAATAACTGATTTTACACTTGGCATCACATAGTCACTTATGTGTGCGACCAGAACTAATAACAGATAAACAACATGATAATTTGACAATTATACTTTTATTAAGGTACTTCATAACCTTGTGGCGGAAATTTTGGCTGCAGACGGGCAAAACCCATAAATTTTATCCAGTCCCGGGGAGACTACTAACTGCCTTGTTACACTGGCAAGTCAGTGACCCAGGTTTACAACCTGGTGTCAGTCCCAAAAGTTGAACACGCTTAAGTGGACAGGTGTTAGCGGGCTGCCAAGATTACATCTGACTCCTGAGCAACGAGGGTCCCGGACGTAGCCCTGCCCTGGGCCTCCCCTCCATACGTAGAGGTGGAGGGGGGTGCCAACGTAACCCTGGAGTGCACCCCACCATAATACATAAAACTAATACATACAATGAACCTGCATGCTTTCAAGCAAGTCAGGCCAGGAGAAAGAGCCAGACAGTACCCGTAACCCCCTTTTTCGTCTCCCCGGGCCGCCACAGAAAATAACATTTTTTCTTCCATTATAAAATTTATACATAAACAATATTGTAAACATGTTTTGGAATAGGATTACTTATATACATTTTAAGATAAATGAACAGTATACATTTTAAGATAAATGAATGTAACAGTTTTTGATATTCATTTCAGTCATAACATGTAATGACATTCACAGCTTTTATGATGTCTATAGGGTGGCTGTTGGTAATGTTAGTAAAGAATTGTCTGGTGTACTGTTAATCAGAGACTGCAAAGCTGTCTTCCAGTTGTTGATAAGAATGGAATTACCCAAGCTTGACAAGTGTGTTCCATCAGTATGGAATAAGTTTACCTCCTTAGCAGAAATATTGTTATTGTCAATGTATTGACCTCCATTTTTAAGAATAAAGGATTTGATTGCAATATTCACTCTTGTTCGTTTTTTTTCTATTTTCTTTCCAGCACCAAGAGGTGCATAGTGCCAGTACCTCCTTTGAAGGATTGATGACCATATTATTGTAGTTTTACAGAAAAGTGCTTGATATCTCAGGATTGAACACTGAATCTTTTCTATCAACATTTTACCTGTGACTCCCTCTGATGTCAGATCATTGGAGCCGCAATGAATCAATATAAATTGTGGTTTTGGCATTTCCATTAACATCGAGTCCATGAGTTTATCTAAACCATCAAAAACGAGACCTCTGCATCCCTTCCACTTAACTGACATGTTATGCTTTGTAAAACCAAGTTGTGGGTCATCCAGCCTTGCAGTTCTTTCAGCCCAGTGAACAATGGAGGACCCCATAATCCAGAGACATTTATGACCTGAAATAACTTGGGGACAGTTAGTTTTTGGTTGATGTGTTGTAAAGATAGGAGAAAAAGGAAATTATTTAGGGGTTTAACCTGATATAACGAGTGAAAACCTCAGACTTCCAGCGTCCCATGACCTTAATTCTGTCGTCGGGCACCCCAATACTGTGGAGGTATGTTGCTCCACCAATGCGAAAGCTATGTGATCTGACATGATCGGGAGCATCTATAAATTGTAAAGCTTTCTGTAAAAGTGAACAAAATTGATACTTTGTCAGGGGCTTGGTATTGAAGTGGATAAACAGATTATCCCTGTCGGCTGCATGGGGACGGTTCTTAAGGTACTTTGATAGACTGTTAACTGGACAATGGATCCCACCATTAGCTTTAATTTGTAATGTGACCGATAGACCTAGCTGATCAGTTTTTGACCATCTAATTTTTAAAAAGACTGTGTTATTAGATAGATGAACATCACTAACTAACAACTGTTTATGGTTAGACGATATAGTGCTGGGTACTGTGAACTCACTGACTCTTAGCAAACCAAAGAATGCCAAGGAGAAAGCTGCAGTGAACATGACTTGTTCATATTTGTTGCTACATATATATTTTAGACTGTAAATCATTTTATCAAGTAAGGTAAGTGTAATAGGAGCCCTTAAATCATTAACATGCCTCCCTTTTAGGCGGCGTAGGCCCTCAATTGCCTTAATCACTAAGAAGGATTTTGTGGGGTCTGTTAGACTACCCACTTTATGGGCATAACCAATTCCCGACATATAAGTAGAAATTGAAGAGGCGGACAGACCTTGCTGGGCGTAATAAGCAATAAAAAGAAGTAAATCTTTAATAGGGACTGGCCAAGTGTCTGGTAATTGATAGTTATTTCTAAAGTTGGATAACTTTTGAATGCTTGTTGCATAGGTTTTACGGGTAGATGCAGCCACTGAATTAGAAATTAATAGCTGTGCAATACTATCTAGATGTTCCACAGGTGGGATGGAATCTGTGTGGGTTGCCAGTCTGCCTCTGGCGCTGCCTGTCTGAATCTTGCCCACTGTGAACGAGAAAGTGCATCTGCTATGACGTTTTTTCTAGAAGGGATATAAGTGGCTTTAATAGAGATATTGTGAGTTAGCATAACCAAAACTAGATGTCTAACTAGATTCATAATTCTCTCAGATTTACATGTTTGAGATGAAATGATATGTATCACAGCTTGATTATCTATGTGGAATAATATTTTCTTATTACGAAAAGAATTTGACCAAGTAACAATGGCTGCCACAACTGGAAAAAACTCTAACAGAGTCATGTCTCTAGTGAGTCCTCCTATAACCCAATGTGAAGGCCATGAGCCCTGTGACCAATGGCCTGCAAAATAGATACCATACCCTCCTGTAACACCACCTGAACTGTCGGTATATATTTCAAGGGTGTTGTCTGAAAGCCAAATAGGGTCAGATATCAAGGTTATTCCATTGTATGACTGGAGGAAATGTAACCAAAGACCTAGGTCTTTACGCATATTGGCAGAAACCCTTATCTTATGATGAGGTTTTATTACACCTATGGTTGCATCAATTAGCCTTCTGCAGAATGCTCGCCCTGGGGCAATAACTCTGCAAGCAAAATTCAAAGATCCTAGTAGGGACTGCATGTCCTTGAGGGAAATTTTTTTAGCATTTATTGCTATGATAATTTTTTGTCTAAGATCTACGAGCTTATCATTAGGTAACCGCATTGACATCTGTACAGTATCAAATTCAACCCCCAGGTAAACCAAACATGTAGATGGAGCACATGTTTTGTCAAGCGCAATTGGTATACCAAATTTTTTACAAGTATTTTCAAAAGATTGCAATGTATGTCCAGGTTGAATATGATTAGATGACTCACCAAATAGGAAGTCATCTAGATAATGCAAGATGTTTGAGTTATGACTATTGGCAACTACCACCCAATGTAAAAAGGAAGCAAATTTTTCCCAGAGGGCGCAGCTAATTGAAGACCCAAAGGGAAGCATTTTGTCATAAAAATAGTAAGTAACTGGTTTACCTTTTTCTCCGACCATTACTTTAAAACCAAGCAGATCAAAGTCTGCTGGGGAAATGGGGAGAAGGCGAAATGCTGACTTTACATCAGATTTGCTAAGTAGGGCACCCTGACCTAATCTGGCAACCATATCTGCCGCTTGATCAATTGTTGAGTACGACACAGAGCAATGATCTTCATCAATATAGTCATTAATAGATCTATTTCTGGGATAAGACAGGTGGTGAATTAGACGGTAGTCACCGCCTTTTTTGGGAACTAAACCAATGGGAGAAATTTGTAATGTTGGAAATGGGATTCTGAGAAATGGGCCTGCTACCCTACCGACTTGTATTTCTTTAATTATTTTTGTATGCAGGACCCCTGGGAGTTCCCTGGCACTGCGTAAATTTGGAGAGTCTCTGTGTACCCGGGGGCCCTCGTATTGTAAGGGAAAACCTTTTGATATGCCTGTGATAAGGTCTTTTGCTGCACTAAATGGGTAAAGTTTCAAAGCTTTTAGTAATTCAGTGATATTTAATGGTGTATTGCCGATCTGATAAAGAGGTGAGGTACTATTGACCAGTGTGGCATACTGTCTGTGCATGTTTTCCTCCGCATAGCCTGCAGACATGACTGTACCTACAAGGAGTAAAAGGACAATGACTACCAGAATTGAAGTAATTACATGAAAATGACTTAGGACTGGAGGTACGTTGTTTATTAAACTTAACTGCAGGGGTGCCCGTAATTTGAGATGTTGTTTTACTATTATAGGCAGTACTCCTGGTTTGACCTGCAAAATCAGGTACTCTAGGTGATTGACCATTTACATAGAGCAACCAAAGTTCTAAATCAATGGTGCCCCAAGACCTAGATGGGTTGTTTGATTGGACCTGGCGGAATTGTTCATCATATTTCCACCAGGAGTCTGATCTTGTTGCTGCTAAGCGTACATCCCGGAGGTATTTTAACAGCTCCTGGGATCTGTTGGGAAACCTTTCCAGGTAAATACTAATAAAAACGATGAATGCCGATGTCCATTGTTCAATAGACATTTTGAAATTTGACCCCCTTGGCTTTGTGACGCATAACCTCCCGTTTCTAAACTGCAGTTCCCCAATTTGACCCTCTTCAGAATACTCTTGAAGCTGGCGGGATGACTTTAGAAGAAGTGCCAGGTCGGTAAATTCTCCAGCCCAAATTTTTTCTTTTATTTTTACAGGAATAGTACTTCCTAAACTATGAAAATTTTCATCAATGTTTACAGGATTTGATAGTTGAGTTGGCGAGTTATGAACCATTACTGAATCAAAGGGTTGATAATCTAATGAGGGTGGCGATGGAAATGAAACATACGGCCGGGTACCTTGTAATGGTGATTCCCGCGCTTCTACATCGCCGCCTCCCTGACTGGCACTGTTAACCGGTGTTTCCACCAAACCGCCTTGGGATTGTCTGCTGCGTTTAGGCCTATTCTCATTCGCATCTGTCCCGCTCCTTTTCTTGGTTTTACTTTTTGGCATTATTTTATTCTTTTTATTTTAACTTTTTCGGTGCGTTTTTGAAGGACACTCTGTTTCGGAAAGTTCCCGGATAATGATTCGCCTCCTTTGAAGAGTATCTTAGTATGTCTAAATTCCGTACTTTACTTTACCGGATTAAACTGCACCTACCCACCCGCTAGATGATGTGTTTAAGAAGGATTATCGAATACGAGATTCTGGATAATCCCTAGTAAATTTAAAATGTTAAATTTAATGATTGCTACAAAACTTACCCAAGAGCCAAACATAACAATTGCAGCAATGCCTGCTGGGAGAGCAAAGGCAAAAATTCCATGGCGTTTATACTCTACTCCGACAGCTACACCTAAAGCTCCTAATGCCTGTGCGAAGGTTCGAACTTTTGTTGGTATCACTGCCATTGCTAACATTGTCACCCAAAAGGAATAGATTGAGCCCAAGAAATCAGCAAAACTGAGTAGATCATAGTCCAGGAGACAGTAATAAACAAGGTCACTTGCATCACATGCATGGTATATCTAAAATAAAATAATATTGTTTTCATACAAAAGATAGACTGGTTGTGTTTTTCAGTCATACTAACACTGTTAAAGTCATCAAGCTTTGCTGATGGAGGACAACCTCAGATGCTCCTACCTGCATTATTTTTGCACAAATATTAAAACAACAATTCTAACACGACCTGCATTTTTCCCTATTGAACATAGAAGAACAGAAAGTGTGTGTTATTATGCAACAGATGCACAGTTTGACGTTCTATATTTAGACATGTGACGTAATCATTATACATGTGACGTAACCACAAAAAATCCGACGCGCTGAAAATAAGTACGGAAACAAATCAAGCGCAATTTTGCTTAACTATAAAGTACGGCAACATTTATTTGTTGATGTCGTGTTAGAATCGAAATAATATATCCAAATCAGTGATTTTATCGCTTGATAACATCACTGTTTGTCGTTCGGATGCGCATCATTATATCACTCGGGCTACGCCCTCGTGATATAATTCCTCGCATCCGAACTCCAAACAGTGATGTTATTGAGCGATAAAATCACTGTTTGGGATATATTATTTCTTAAATAAACACAGTACTTAATGTCTGTGTTCTTTTATATAAAAGTTGATGTCTCATAAATGTTAAACAACATTATTGACTTTAAGAAAATATTTGGTTCAAGGCACATTATGCCTCAGATAGATCAAACATGTGTTTATATAATGTTTCAATAATGGATTTAGAGCATGTTAGATGTTTAACAACTGAAAATGTACCATTGAATTGAATTTTGAATTCCATACAATATATTACTAAATCACTATATTTATACCAAATGCCTAAGAACAAAAGAAGCAAAAGATAGTTCATCTATACAATCAATATGCTACTTTTTTAAACTGTAATTAGATGATTTTTTTTTTTTAAAATTGAGAAATAAAAATGTTAACATGTCAGGGCTTAATAGGTCTTTAATATAGTCCCTTAAACACTGATTCACTGTTATAAACTTACTGCAGACCAAAACATGGTGTATGTGTACACTGCTGCCTCTGTGAAGTAACGTCTGTACAAAGCGACAATAATTGACGGAACAAAGAACAGATTGCTTAAAGTAAGCAGCAGCAACGCAACTAACTCTTCATTCTTAGTCCGTCCATGTGTACCATCGGTGCAGCCGTAGCCCCGCCAACCTGAAACATACATCAGTGGCAACATAAGCACATATTTAACATTCTTGTCCAAAGATAAATTTTTACAGTCTTTAAACAGAGCCTGTCTCAAGCCAGTATCTGCCAAGACATGGATAAACCAGAGCTGTACAGCACACTCGACTATGATAAATACTTGCCAAGAAGTGGGCATGATGGTCACCAACATGTATTTAAAGTTTCAAAGCAATACCTCAAACGGTACAGGAAGTGCATCAGGTGGTAGGAAAAAATCAACTGGAAGTGTGAAGCAGACATTGATGCCTGGGTGAGTAGGATAGCTCTACCTATTATATTAATATAATAGTCAAGCTAAAAATTAAATTCTACTGGAGTTTTCATTATTATTTAACATTATAAGACATGCTTATCAAATATTAGCAATTTACATAACAAATAATATGATTTTTAAAATAATACTTAAATGCCTACCAATAAGTAATAAGAACAAAATGTAATATTAGTATAAATGCAAAATGAATTGATGACAATAATTGCATTTTTCGCATACTCAAAGGATTTTTTCCAAATAAGTCTGTCTTCTATATGTGTGCATTAAAACAAAGTATTTGCTCTAGCATTTATTTTTCTGCAGGTAATTTCTGATCCAATCACTTGGTCTACATGTAATTAATAAGGCTGGTATGTTTTGGCTAAATATTTATCATGGAAGGTTCAAACTTTATCAACAAATCCAACCAAAAAATGTGCTTTCTATGAAAGAAAATTTTGTTTGATTTTAAGTAAAATTCAAGGTCATATGTCTACTTTTGTACTTTACTGGCGAAGAAAAATTAAGTGTCACATGTACATGTATTATTTCAGGCAAGACCAGGCATTAGAACAGAACCACAAACCTTCAAAAAAGTAAGATGGATAGCTTCATAACATGAAATAATCCCAAAATCTGTAGCGAGAATTAAATCCATAGATGTTGGCCATTCAAGGAAAACTAGTCAGTCACAGTGGCCCCTGAAACAACTGATTTTGATACAGCAAAAATAGCAATGGGAATTTTTTGTACCTGCAAAACACTTGCATGAGCTGAACACATGAACGCCACTGATATAATCCTGACAGGCACCATACTCGCCACATTGACCATCTAAACATCCTGATATTGACAAATCAATGTCAACCTGAGGCGCTCCTAGACACCTGATTACAGCCCTGAAAATATAAACACCCTATATCACACACACACAGATAGTAACATACAGGGCTGGTTAAATATACCACAGAAATATTAAGAACCATATAATGAACTCGTTTTTTTTTTGGTCATTTCTTGATCAAGTTTTATATACAGTATATCTGCTTTAAAACACACATTAATAATGATAATTAAATGTGCCCTTACAAAATATTCATTTGATATCAGGTGTACCATTTAACCCTTTACAGTGAATGAAAAATGTAGGTGACCATTGTACTGTAAAATCCTCTAAGGTGGACAAAATAGATTAAATGTATTATCCTCTGAAGTGAAGAAAGTAATGAAAAAGGTGCTTCATATAACTTTTTAAAGTGAAAAAGAAAAAGCATTTAAATAGTAAGTATTTGCAAATGAAATATTAATATATGAACATGGAAAGGATTTGTCCATTTTAAAGAAGAGTTGGTGCAGTATTCTGTTAACAAGACTAAAACCTCCTTACATGGTATCCTTTTTGTAACATCTACTATTGAGAGCCAGGTACCATATTCCCACCTCTGGGTATGGCACATAGACTGTGTCCTCGAGTTGTTCTGATGTTGTATTCAGGATAATCTGTACACCAGTCTCACAGGATGCAATCGTTTCACCTCCAGGTATAGAATTTTTCATCAGACATACATACAACACTATGGAATGTTTGGAAGTCTGAAAACACAAAAATATGCTTTTTAATATCATTATGCTGAAATTCTTAAATGTACTTCTCCATATTCTATTGTTTGAACTGTTCATTATGAAATCTAGGGATATAAAGATGAAATTAATAGTCAGTCAACAGAATAAAGCCTGGACTGGCAAGGATGTGCAAGCTGGCCTGACTCTACACAGGCGGTAAAGGATAATCACTTAAAAGTTTCAGCACAATAAAGGTTAAATACCTTAATGTCAAATATGTGTAATTTAAATGACCAAATAGAAAATGTGCAAGAAGTAAACTTAGTAAAGATACCATTTAAATAAAGACTTTTTATTCTATTGCAATCACTATAGACTTGAATCAATTCTACCAAAATAACCTTTGTTTAAAAATTCATTTGTAAACAAGGCTTTTTATTGGGAAAATGCCTAAAAAAATTAATTTTACAAAAACTTGGAAAAAAGTAAATTACTTCCAATTTTTATGCATGGGCCTAAAAGATAACTTATTTTATTAAATGTGTCCAAGCCTATACTTACTTCTAGAGAAGCCTTTATAAATCTGACATCTAACACTAAAGTTCCTCCTATATCTGTACCTTCTTGTACACTGATATCTGTAACTAACACCTGATAATCTGGGATATAAAGTTTATCTAACATAGCTGGGATCGGTATTGGTCCTGGTTCAGACAGAAGGTATGAGAGGTTAAAGGTGAGCTGGTTAAAAATAAATCGTCCGAGGGAAGCCATTTTGATGCAGGAATCCTGGGAAAGCTGTAAACTGTTGGAATTCTTCTCTCTTGTTGTAGCTTCATATATTGTCTTTGGTAACAATAGTTTCAATGATTCGCAGCCTGAAAATTAAACGCAGATAATAATTCATGTATGCCTGACTCTTCATTACTTTAAATATACAAATATATATTGAACTATCTACATAACATACTACATCAACATGTTTCTTGATTTTTAGACAATGGCCTCTTTCCTTTATCACATATTCTCAGGAAAAGGTCCTTATCAATTTAATTTTCTTTAAAGTTCAAATGAAATTTATTGTTTGAGAATTGGGGAAAATTGGAATTCATTGAAATTTAACAAAAGCTAAAACAAAATATTTAACACGGTGATCATGAGTTGGTCTAGGAATTAAAAGGAAATGTTATTGTACTAAAAACGTAACATTTCTTACCTTTCTTCTCAAAATGTAATTGGAACTGAATCTCTGACACATTGAAGTCATTGTCAACTGTTAACAGAATGTACGTCCATTTATGAAGTACTGGCGATAAAACTGTTTTACTGCACACTGTCTTATTTCCACATGCCAATTTTAACTTTGATTTTGGGCTCGGTAACATCTCTGCCTCAATCGTCATCACTATAGGACAATTGGTTGACCTTGATGGCAACACTGGTTCTGTTTCATTCACATTTGAGGTGTTAGTTTGTTCAGCTGATGTATCTAATGATGTCACTATACAATTGTCTATTTTCACTGTATATTCTACTGTGTCCTTGGGTAAAACAAACCTGTAATTGAAATATTAAAACTATTATGAATGTAGAAAGCATGCCATTAATAATTATATTTGTGACAATTTTGGGTGCAAAAAAATGTAAATTTTATTTTCTGTCACCTTGACCAATGGTTAACACAACAGTTTGTTAAGGAAATATACTTGATGGTGAGTAAATGACAGAGTTCAAAATAATATTCAGAGAGCCATTTGTTCTGCAGTATGAGTAGAATAAATTTTTATGAGCGTGTTACATTTTCCCACTCATCTGATGTCAATTCTCTTAAATTTTACTGGTAAATACAAAATGTACAGGCTGACGAATGGAATTTTTGATCCCTAAAGTCAATGAAATGTATTCAATTGTTAGTCATGGAAGTATATTCAATGGTTAGTCAAGTAAACATGAAGGTGTTTGCAATGGTTAGTTGAGTAACTATGCTTAACGTTAAGTTGTGAAGGTGTACTCAATGGTAAGTGAAGAAAGTTTACACAATGGTTAGGTAAGGAAGTATACTTTATGGTTAGTTAAGTAAGAATACTAAAGGTTTTATTTAAAGAAATATGTATACCTAAATGTTAGTTAACTTAAGGAAGTGTACTTCAAAGTTATCTAAGTCATCTTTAAACTTACTTCATATGTGCTTTTAAATAAATTACTTTTAAATTAAATTATAAATAAATAATAACTAAACTGTTACCTGTATAGGGCCTGTGATTGTGTGGCTTGTTGGGTCAGATGGACATGCTGAGATTTTTCTGTAGATATCTCCTCAATGTTATCATAACCCCTGGACTCTACCACCACAAACATTCCATACATACATGACTTATCTAACTCCTAAAAATGTTTAATATATACATGAACATACTGAAATATTCACAAATAATCCAAACCATTTAATTTAAGCTATTTTAAAATTGCCTCTCTGAAAGTGGCTTTTCATGGTGTGTCTTTTTGGCATAAGTCAATATGTAGCAATGATTTTAAACAAACAAATTAATCCAGCAATTTCTTCAGTCTGAAAGGTTGTATATTTATTGTAAATGCTATCTTCAGTAGTTAATAAAACTGTGTTGATGACCTTTATGAAGAATGAGAAGTAAAAATAAAGGGAAATAGAACTCTATTTTATAAAAACGAGAAAAGAGAAATTAAATGATTTTAAAATAATAATTTAGCATTTTTACACTGGTCATAGCCTTATAATGAAATGCTAAGGTCTCAATCAAAAAGTTTAAACTGAACCATAACTAATGCAAGATATTTTGTATTCTTTCTCAATTTCTTTTCAGAAAAGATAAAAAAATAATTGAGCCGCGTCAAGACAAAACCAACGTAATGCATTTGCGACCAGCATGGATCCAGACCAGCCTGCGCATCTGCGCAGTCTGATCAGGATCCATGCTGTTCACTATCAGTTTCTCTACTTGTAATAGGGTTTGTAAGCGAACAGCATGGATCCTGATCAGACTGCGCGGATGCGCAGGCTGGTCTGAATCCATGCTGGTCGCAAACCCATTATGTTGGTTTTGTCGTGACGCGGCTCAATTTTTGTTCAACAGAAATACTGATACCATAAAAGACATAAAATCAAGAATTTTCTCCAACATAACAAAAAAAGACAGTAAGTTTTATATTATCTGAATTAAGCAAATTTAACTCACATAATAAATATTCTAACACCCTTATCATTGTTCCCTTATTAAAACATACAGGGCAGTCCAGTGCATAATTATGCAATAATTATATGCACAGCAGGAATGCTTACATGTCATATAGCATCAAATGTGGTCTCAAAAAAACAAATTACTTCAAGAAAATTACTTCTCTGCTAAAAGTAGTTCAACATATTATATTATATCTTATTAATTCTCTTCTTTTATAAACAAGTTAAAATGGAAATAGATATTGATTTTTCGTGCACTTTTGTATAATAATCCACAGTTTACCATTCACATACTTTTCTGAGCATCTGAACTTGAACTGTGTATTACTCTATAAAAACACACTCAAAATTATTTCCTGAACTTCATACCTTTCATTGTATTTAATCTAAATAAAGTTCTATACCTCACATATTAAACAATATTATACCTTTATCTGTATTTTATCTGAAGTGGGTTTAGGCAAAAAAGCCGCAAAATACCAGGTACCAGGTCTTGGACTAGAGATTATATATGACACAGCATCTGCATCTTTCTGTATCTCAATGTGAAACAAATCTGTCCGATTCAAGTAAAAATTTGGTGGATATGTCTCATTGTAGGGGGTCACCAAAGGATAACTTCCTTGCTGAAGGTATCTGAAAACAAAATCACATATGGTCAGATTATATAATTCTTTGTTAGAGGATTTACCACTGAAATATAATACTTAAAATTTATGTACATGTATGAATCTGCAATGCAATTGAATATCACTAAAATAATAAATTCAGAATTTTTCTTCTATCAATTTTACAACAAAACATTTTACATATTAAATTGTGTATAAAGGTATCAAAAATTATTTTAAAGGCACAATATACCTCAGAAACAAATAAATTTTTTAGGGAAAACATGAACTTTAAAATTTTAGGGAAAACATGAACTTTATGTTTAAATAATTGTTTTAGAGCATGTAAGATGCTTATTACCTGAAACAAGAGGGCCATGATGGCCCTGAGGTCGCTCACCTGTATATAGCCCCCCCCCCCCCCCCGGGCAAATTTTTACCCAAGGGCTTTTATTTGTTTATTTCAACAAACTTGGTAGATACCCATAAGAAGATGTTTCATGCTAAACATCTAAGTTCTAGCTCATTGGGTTTTTTAAAAGAAGATTTTTTAAGTTTTTACTATACACATATAGTTAAAAACAATGACACCCCTGGGGCAGGGCCAGTTTTGACCCCCGGGCTTTTATTTGAACAAACTTTGTAGATATTTACTTAAAGATGTTTTATGCTTAATATCTAAACTCTAGCTATTTGGGATTTTTCAAAGAAGATTTTTAAGTTTTTGCTATACACATATAAGGAAAATCAATGACCCCCGGGGCGGGCCAGTTTTGACCCCAGGGCTTTTATTTGAACATACTTGGTAGACACCCATTAGAACATGTTTCATGCTAAATATCTTAGCTCTAGCTCTTTGGGTTCTTTAAAAGAAGATTTTTTAAGTTTTTACTATATGCATATAGGGAAAATCAATGACCCCCTGGGGCGGGGCCAATTTTCACCCAAGGGCTTTTATTTCAACAAACTTGATAGACATTCACTAGAAGATGTTTCATGCCAAATATCTAAGCTCTAGCTCTTAAGGTTCTTTAAAAGAAGATTTTTTAAGTTTTTACTATATGCATATAGGGAAAATCAATGACCCCCTGGGGCGGGGCCAATTTTGACCCCAGGGTTTTTATTTGAACAAACTTGGTAGACATTCAGTAGAAGATGTTTCATGCCAAATATATCTAAGCTCTAGCTCTTACAGTTCTTTAAAAGAAGATTTTTTAAGTTTTACTATATGCATATAGGGAAAATCAATGACCCCCCGGGGGCGGGGCCAATTTTGACCCCAGGGCTTTTATTTGAACAAACTTGGTAGACACTCACTAGAAGATGTTTCATGCCAAATATCTTAGCTCTAGCTCTTTGGGTTCTTTAAAAGAAGATTTTTTAAGTTTTTACTATATGCATATAGGGAAAATCAATGACCCCCTGGGGCGGGGCCAATTTTGACCCCAGGGTTTTTATTTGAACAAACTTGGTAGACATTCACTAGAAGATGTTTCATGCCAAATATCTAAGCTCTAGCTCTTACAGTTCTTTAAAAGAAGATTTTTTAAGTTTTTACTATATGCATATAGGGAAAATCAATGACCCCCGGGGCGGGGCCAATTTTGACCCCAGGGTTTTTATTTGAATAAACTTGGTAGACACTCACTAGAAGATGTTTCATGCCAAATATCTTAGCTCTAGCTCTTTGGGTTCTTTAAAAGAAGATTTTTTAAGTTTTTACTATATGCATATAGGGAAAATCAATGACCCCCTGGGGCGGGGCCAATTTTGACCCCAGGGTTTTTATTTGAACAAACTTGGTAGACATTCACTAGAAGATGTTTCATGCCAAATATCTAAGCTCTAGCTCTTACAGTTCTTTAAAAGAAGATTTTTTAAGTTTTTACTATATGCATATAGGGAAAATCAATGACCCCCCGGGGCGGAGCCAATTTTGACCCAAGGGCTTTTATTTGAACAAACTTGGTAGACACTCACTAGAAGATGTTTCATGCCAAATATCTTAGCTCTAGCTCTTTGGGTTCTTTAAAAGAAGATTTTTTAAAGTTTTTACTATATGCATATAGGGAAAATCTATGACCCCCTGGGGCGGGGCCAATTTTGACCCCAGGGCTTTTATTTGAACAAACTTGGTAGACACTCATTAGAAGATATTTCATGCCAAATATCTAAGCTCTAGCTCTTAGGGTTGTTTAAAAGAAGATATTTAAAGATTTTTCTTTCGGTTGCCATGGCAACCAGAGTTCTGTATGGAATTAAATTCTTTGAACAATTTTTAAAGGTGACCACCAAAGGAACATTCCTGTGAAGTTTGGATGAAATTGGCTCAGTGGTTTATGAGGAGATGTCATTTAAAGCAAAAGTTTACGGACGGACGACGGACGACGGACGGACGACGGACGGACGGACGGACGGACGCCGGACGAAAAGCGATCACAAAAGCTCACCCTGTCACTTTGTGACAGGTGAGCTAAAAAGTAGTGTTAAATGTAAAATAATTGTCATAACAGTAGCAAAATTTGACTTCCATACAAAATACTAAATCATTATAACAGTACTACTGTAAATCCGGTATTTTTCGCGATGTTTTTATTTTCGCTATTATTCGCGAAATCGGCCGCGTCGCGAATTCATGATGCCGCGTAAATTTTATAACATAACATACATTATAAAAAATAAATCTGATGACAATTTTTTTCGAATTGTGATTAAGTTTTATAATGTATACAATAACTGAATGCAAAAAATTGATATGTGCAATGTTTTATTTACATCATAATAAAGATATGAATGTTAAAGATTTTTCCCTTTCCTTTTTCCTCATGAATACATGCATGTAAAACACAAAAAGAGAAAATATCCACACATTTTGCACTTAACAGACAAATGTGAACACATATTGTTTAGATGACAATTGATTTACGGTAAAACATTGATCAAGGGACAATTTTTATACGGTAGATTAAGTATTATAAACAAGTATATAACACCTTCTTACAAACATTTAACGTTTTATCAAAGACGGTATTTGCAATTAAAAACAAATTTGACAAATGATTAGAAAAATTGTTCATAATAAGTCAATTGCATGTATGTAGGTATATTTTGTATTTAAAATAAATAAATAAAAATTGTCTCTTATTAACACCATTAACATTAATTTACCTTGCATAAGAGCAACACAGTATAGGAATTAACTTGAACATACCCTGTTTTTTGCAGAAATAAAATTCAAATAATCGCGAATATAAAATCCTGACCCTGCCATCGCGAATTCATGAATACGCGAAATAATCCGGGGGTGGGGTTTCCGCGAAATAAAGATCACGCGAATATAAAGTGATTTACAGTAATTGATAATTAGAGTCCTTATATGTATTAATTACTTCAAACCTTGAATAAAAATTCATAACAATTTATCATACACTAAATTTATCATGAACTCATTTTTGTTTAACTATTTTATACAATCTTTCTAAATATGTCCTTACACATGAACTTCTCTGAATGTGCAAGCTTTGCCTGATGTTTTTGCCTGGAAACTGAAGGAAACATCTGCTGTTTGCTCTGGTACATTGTATGAAAGTAGGGTAACTGATCTATAGCTCTCGTACTGTGATAACTTTATAGCTGTACTCCAATGAACATCAGAAAAATAAGCAGCATCTGTAACATTGAAATATCAAAATAATAAATAAATAGTTTTAATTTATTTTGTTGTTTTCCATTGAAAAATGGATGTTTAAGTGTGTAAGCAAATGAATACAGCAAATATTAACCCAAGATGGTGATATGATATATATTGAACTAAAATCCTTTAAATAGGATGCTGTATTTACACACCCTTTTGTATTCAGCCCATTCAGTCTTGCTAATAATGTAAATATCAAAAATTTATCTCTTGTTGATGATAAGAACAATTTACTACCCAGCACCAGTTTACTATATATAACATAATAACATTCATGTATTTTATATAGTAAATGGGTGCTACAGTTGATAGAGCTATAGTAATTTTATTCTAAGTGATCGATAGGAGACTTTTATGATGCAAACACGACGTTTCAGGGATGAAACATCTTGGGGTGTTTGGGACTTGTAAATTTTTATGATAATTTAACCATTTGGTATGACAACTTACAGCTGTAGCTGAAGTTGCTTTGTGATAATAACACTGTCATACATGCCATTAAGTCCCAGACGTCTGGGAAAGTCCCGGAAATAAGGTGTCTGTCCCGGAGGCGTCCCAGTTATTATTAACTATTCTAGAACGCTTATAAAGTACATCATCACAAAATACACTAAATGGTGACATTGGTAAATCAATGTGCCCCTTCCAACTAACAATCATCCATTGATGTCAAACGCCGCACAGGGACATAGACATAACTCTAGACTAGTCACTTCAGAGACAGCTAAGAGATACACCGGAATCCGGGAACCAGTTTCTAGCTCTTATTGAATAGACCCCTTGGTTCTTTTAAATGCCCAGTGTATAGCACTGATACATTTCCATCATACTGCTTCAAAATCAATCATGATTACACTAAGCAGGCATTTTGTCTGGGAATAGCTGTTAAAAAACAAATGTGATAAGTGCAAATTTTTAGGTATAAGATAAAAGCAAGTTTAAAAAGAACTACAAGACTGAGATAAAAAGTTAAAAGCAAAGCTAAATTAGAACTGGTAAAATGGCTGCAGCTGCCAAGTAAAGAGGTCTAAACTGGGACTAGCTTGTAAGCCTGTAAGGACATGGGTAGACCCTCACAAGATTGTGTTGGATTTTGTAGAGTAGGGTAACAGAGCTGATGTTGCTCCACTGCTCTAGAGTTTGCCAATTAAGTTCACTTATCATTTTAGATACACTACTGGTGTAATTGTAGTTGTTGTATACATATCTGGCAGCTGACCTTTGAACTTGTTCTATTTTGTAAACCAGATATTTTTGCCAAGGATGCCAAACCGTGGAACAGTATTCTAACTGGGGCCTTACATAGGTTTTGTAGGCAGTTTCTTTAACCTTTTTGTTTGAAGTTTTGACATTTCTTTTTATAAATCTGAGTGAATTATTTGCTTTTGCTGTTAATGTTGTTTATATGATTGGTCCAAGATAGATCTTTACTAATTGTTACACCTAAATACTTTGCAGCCTCAGTGGATTTTAGTTGTTAACCATGAAAATTATAAGGGAATACTACTGGATATTTTTTGCAGCTGATACTAAGGACTTCACATTTATCTGGGTTAAATTCCATGGACTAATCAGATTCCCAGTTTTCAAGACTGTTGAGATTTTTTTGGAGGGTTGGGTTGATTTGATTGTTAGGTATACTATTGTATTGTCTGCAAATTGTATATTCTTGCCCTTAACACTATCAGGGAGGTCATTTATGTAAGATAAGAAAAGGCAAGGTCATATGACCGAGCCATGGGGGAGACAAGAAAGAACTGGTAGGTTGTCAGAGTTTTGACCATCGACAATAACCTGTTGGGTTCGACCATATAAAAATGACCTTGTCCAATTGATGACCTCTGATTTAACACCTAGTCTGTGTACTTTAAGAAGCTTGTGATGGTCGACTTTATCAAATGCTTTGCTGAAGTCCATGACAATGACATTGGTCTGTTGGCCTTGCTCTAGATTGTCATGAACTTCCTGGGTGAAACTGATAAGCTGGGTTTCACAGCTACGTTTTGACCTGAAACCATGTTGGAATTTGCTGAGAATATCATGCTCATCGTAGAAAGACATGATATTGGAGACAATTATATGCTCCATAAGTTTTGAGGCAATGCAGGTTAATTATATAGGCCTGTAGTTACTAGGCTTACATTTTGGGCCTTTCTTATAAACAGGGGGCAATGACTGCATGCTTCCATGCAATCATGAGGGACAGTAGCCAGTTTTTAAGGAAATTTGGAAGATGTTTGTGAGAACTGGGGCAATTTCAGTATGAAGTTCTTTCGATAAACTTGGGGACAGTTGGTCTGTACATGCAAGGATTAACTGGATTTCTTACCAGTACCCTACATGAATAGTTAGGTGGGAAACATTGAACAGGTCTAGGATTTCATGACATTTATGGACTGTCCATAAATCTATAGATGGTCTAGAAATTTAAAGATTTTTTAATCCATAAATTTACAGATATTCAATGTAAAATTTGCTGTATTTAGTATTACATTAAAATCCACAGCTTAAGATAAGTTGTTTTATTGATTGTTTGTATTTACAGATGCTATGGGGTGAGTTTCATCTTTGTATGATGATTTTGAAATTTTTGTTAAAAGTGAGGTCATCAAATTGTTCTGAATCTTACAATACTGTTACATTAAATCATATAATATGTAACCTTATACATTTAATCATATAATATGTAACCTTATTCATTTTAACTTAATGTCTGTAAATTTATGGATATAAAAATCTGTAAAATTATGGATTGTCAAACAATTTACAGATCATGAAATCCTAGACCTGTTGAAAGTGTCTCTGAAAAATCCCAAGGCCGAAGGGTGTTATCCAGGATTAAATCCGTGACCTCAGGAGTGACAGCCATTGGTCTAACCAACTGAGCTATCGAACCAACTAATGGCAAACTATATACCATGTATACACATGTAAAGCAAAGGCACATGTGGAAAGTGATAAAAGTATGCCAATCCTCCAAACTTCTCAAATTCATCAACTACATTGACACGTCGTTTTTCATTTGCACTTGAAAAACAGTACATGTATATTTAAATATATTAAACACAGGCTAGTCGAGACCTAAAGGCTAAATACCTTGTTTAACAAACTTCCTTCTTAGTTTTTTAAAAAAATATTTTGAGGTTCGAATTGATTTGAGTACGAATTGTTATGAGTTTCATATTGCCAGAAGTACTGTACTTACAATTAGTTTTAATTAGCAAAACACTGATGACGATTAAAAATAAAATGTTATGTGATAAAATTTGATACATTTTATCCAACAAATGTCTTCTAATTTGTTTATTTACAAAACATCTTAATTTATAACCATCTTATCATATTACACCAAAGGTTTTTAACTACCATAACTTGTTTCAAGTAATTCTTCAAATTATACGAGCTTCAGGCTATGTTTGTAATGTTTGAAATTTAAATGTGAACTCTTCAAAAACAAAGGTGGGGAAAGCTAAATTTCAGAAGCTATGTTCTTTGTGATAAAAAAGCTAGAAATTGTCACTATCTTTAGATCTACAGATCCACTGGTTTAATACAATATGATTGTTCCTCCTCTTTGTTATGGCTCTGAAGTTTGGGGAATAGAAAAAGAAGTTTATTGATCAGTTTCAGCTTAAATTTTACAAAATTATACCTAACCTCTAGTAAAGTACTCCCAATTGTATGTTATATAGTGAACTTGGAGTTACTTCGATATCTTTGCAAATAAAAAGTAGAATTATAAACTACTGCATATATGGTGTAATTAAGCTTTTTAGTAGTAACTTTAGATGCCAAGATTTTTTAATATTTTATATAAATCTGCATACTCTGAATATGTTAGATATTGAACTGAATTACCGTGGCTTTCTTTTTTGTTGAGGTTACTTTGGACGAACTTGGTTAATCAAATTATTGGTTAAGTCAATCTGTACTTAGTCCGCTTAATTTCAAAAGTCTTGTTAAATTTAAACTTTGATAACAGTTGGAACAGTTATGTCCAGTATTTAAGCAAATGTTTAAACTACCGTTTATATAATTCAGATTTTTTATTTGAAAAATTATTTTAAAATACTTCCTTGGCAACTGTCTACAGCTTTGTTAAAATTTAGATGTATGAATCATAAAATGCTAATTGAGGGATTTACGTATATGCACTTTATGTGAGTCAAAGCAACTGGGTGACGAATTTCATTATGTTTTATTGTTCACATTTTGTTTATAGCAGACGTATATTTAAGAAACCGTATTATTATAGATACCCAAATGCATTGGAACTTGAAGATCTTATGAATAGTAAAACAAGTCAAATTAAAAAAAAAACTTGCTTTATTTTGTACAGAAATAGTTACAACTTGCATATAATATAATGTTGTATTATTAGTCTCCTAGAAAATTTTGTTAATGAAGCATAAATTTTATTTATTATTAAGAATTTACTCACATCTTTATTTTATTGTACGGGTACAATATGATTGTCACTAATTCTCCTGTTTTTAAGTATATTTTTGTCTGTGTTCCGGTTGTTATGTTCACAATTTTGATTTTATGTCACATGTTCTCATGAGCCATGACAGTATTGAATGAAATCTTAAAAAAAACTTTAATCCTCAAGGCCTACCACAATTAGTCAATGCCATTACATCAGTAAATTCCATTAAAATTTGAAAGACTAGCCGGAAAGAAAATTTCAGTTAGGGTATGATTAAGAGAAAATACTTATTTCGTCAGTAAAAATGGCCCAATTTACTTATTTTATAAATAAAATTGAATATTTACTTTTAGTTTTTTTTTATTAAAATCGTGGAGCGTCCTTGGCCGATCAATGGTTAAGGTCGTTGACTTCAAATCACTTGCACATTATATAATTACTCTCAAACACTAACGCGGAAAGTTTTTTAAAGTATATGAATTATACACTATTAATAACCGACGGACATACCTAATCTAAAGCTCTCTTTTAGCAGCAACAATAAACAGAGGAAGTACGTCCAAAGCAATGCATTATAGTTTACGTCAGTTCTTTAATAAAATTGACAAAAATTCAGATAATTTATAAAGGATTGGCCTTTTTTTATCGGACTTTAGGCAGTCATCAGCCTCAGGTCCATATAAGTCTCTGGGTAATATGACTGTGTTCAGCCCAAAGAACATTAAACATTTAAGTATAAACATTATAGTGAATAGATATTTTTCTAGTAATAATGTTGTGTTCCATTTAATGGTGTACGCAGGTTATGTAAATAATAACCTGCAGTGTATTAATAGTTTGTACAAACACTCCAAAGAATCAAAGAATAAAACATGATAGACAAGATCAACAAGGAAAGGTGGTGTTCAATGAACGCAACCTCCACACGACCCAGCAACAAGAACAAGCGACAAGGAGCCCAGGAGGACCCCGAACAGGACAGGGCGCAAGGCAGAGCACGGACAGGATAATCACTTAAATGATATTAAAAGGAGTTAATAGTAACCGACAAGGAAATTAAAGAAAAGAATAATTGATTAATTAAAAGGCCCACAAAGTTAAAGGGCACAGGGGGAGGGTACACGAGATTCGGGGAAGGAAGGGGAAAATTTAAACAAAACAAAAAACTAGGGGCAAAACGCCAAGGGACACAAACAAAAGTGTCACCAAAAACAGTATGAAACAGCAAAGACATACATCTGAGGAACACAGAGGGGTGCAACCTTGGAAAGGTCAGCAGCATAAGCACTACTGGGGAGTTAAAACCGGTGAATGGTGCACCAAACGTCACGCTAAGCATCACCATGTTCCTATAAACGAGAAAGTGTAAATAAAATGATTCCCCGCCAAGTGAAATTTTAACAGTTGTAATGGTTACAAAAGATGAAATAAGTAAAAAAACGAAATGATCATGTAGTAATATGTAAAAAAAAACTCAATGACCGTAACAAAAGTACTCAATGTCTTAAAGGAAGACAGAGCAGCAAGAAAATCACCTACAAGGGTGATATAAATAACATCCTCATATTTTTTTTTTTTGTAAAATATTTACATAATTTATAATAGCGGTAGCCCTGTTTAAGTAGCTTGCTAGCAATGAAAATATCTCGATACGTTGCTACAAGCTCTAGCAAATCTAATTAACTGAGATACATAAACCCGTGAGATGTTGCATGCGGTACATTTCCATCTAAAATCAAAGTCATCTCTTTCATCATACATGCTGATTTTCGTGTGAAAAGAATTGTTGTTGACCGTAATTTGAAAATCCAAAAATGATGTACTAAAATTTAAAATGTTTGTTTTATTAAGTTGTAGTAAAAACAGTTATAATTTTTTATGAGATGTTAAATACAGCTGCTGACAGATTCTGAAAATCTGGAAACGAAGTGATTCCTCGGAAGCATTAACCTCAACATAATTATAAGAAAATTGCAGACTCGGTTTGATTGAGTCTGTACATGAGGGATAATGAATACGTGCAACATCCCTCAAGCCCCGTAGCACCGGCTTGAGCGGTACTCAATTATCAACACTTAATAGTTCTGGCATCAATGATCCCGAAGGACAAGAAAAATATAACAACACTGAAGTGAAATACGGGACAACTTTTTACAGTTGCCATGCCACACAGCACTTGACACCTGCTGTTGTGAAGTATAAAAATCTGGAAACAAAGTGATCCCTCGGAAGCATTAATGACAACACAATTATAAGAGAATTGCAGACTCAATGATGTTATATTTTCGATCCTTGAAGATCGTTCAGCACGACATTATTGTTGTGTTGACTTTTAGTTTCTTCTTTTTGGCCATTTTCTACTTGGGTGGTTCCAGTATTCCTACTTTGGTTTCTTCTTTTTGGTCATTTTCTACTTGGGTGGTTCCAGTATTCCTACTTGAATACTGTATTATCACCCTTAGGATATGTTGCCTGCTTTTTAAATTTGTCTTATCTGTAATATGCAGGCTTCATAACCTCAGATCCCCTTTCAAAATTCCATTTTATTTAGTTCCGCCCATTTTTACTCGTTTAGGGCAAAAGCAATCTTTTACTTGGGGACCATACGCCGCTTTGCATGGAATGGCACTACTGTGTCACATTGAATGTTCCATGATAACCGCCGTATGAACACATCTGCGGATGTTTCTAAATTCAAAATTTTACCATTTTCGTGTTAAATGTTGAATTCTGCTTAAGCCGGTGCTAGGGGGCGTGGACGGTAACTTGCACTTTCCAGTACCGTCCACGAACAGGCTCAATCAAACCGAGTCTGCAACATTTTCAATTTTGTCGTATTGGACATTCTTTAGGACTCTTTGATTGAGTCTGTACATCAAGCCTAAATTTTTTACCCCTTGATAAATAAAAATCAAGCAACATTTTTAGAGAGAACATATGATCTATTGTACCTTATTTTTTCTAAAACCACCCTACTCTTCACACAAAATATCATATGACTCTAGATACTTGTTCAGACGGGTTATTGTTGTTGTCTGAAACCATTTTCTTGTTGGTGTTTTGTTTTCTTAGGGGTACTTTAGTACACAAAGTTTTGTGACGTTTTACACTACGTCCGGCAAAAGTCAGCATCCGAGGAAACAAACTGAATTAATTATCTGAATTTGATGTTAGATAATTTTACACTGACAACAAATAAAAACATTATTTTAATTGGCACAATAGTGTCCGCTTCAAGTGTTTTCTTGTTTTTATGCATGGGTGGTAGTTCATCGAAGAACATGAATAAATTATGTGTTGCCAATCCTCAGGCGAGGCACACCGCTACGGTAAGATAATTATCGTTTGATTTCTAGAGGGTTGAATGTTGTTGACTTTTAGTTCTGATCAAGGAGCAGTAGTTCCAAAACTGGTGGAATCTTTTAATAACATATCATTTTAAACTAGTTCATCCTAAATGGTAGTCGGACTATTCTCTCCCTTACCAGTTCCTCCCCTGACGGTTCTCTCCCTATTTTGGGGGAGAACTGTCTGCATATTTGCAAATTAGGAGACAGTTCCTCCCCATTGTTATTTTTATAATTACATTATTATTAAAGTATTTAGATGATAAATAAATGGGTAAGTTTATTATGAATTGATATAAATTAGAAAAAAAGAGATTTAGAGTGATTGGACACGTCCTCGATCAGCCAGGTCCTCGATCAAAATTTTGTTTTTTTGTATCTTTTTCAAATAAACTTGATAAAACACTAACTTTCTTTGCTTTGTTTTTCCAACACATGTAAGTACTTTACTAAACTCCCACTGAAGAGTATTTATGTGAGGTCAAAGTTCACGCAGCAGACGATTCTAAAAACAATGGCAAAGTGAAAGTAGAAATTACCCAATAAAAAAGTAAATGCATCTTTTCTCCTT